TGCCACTGCTCCTGTTCTCTCTCCATGTCCTGCACTTGAGACCTTAATCCATCGTTCTCTTTTTTACAGTCTGCCAGTTCCCCTTCCAGGGATAGGCACTGACTGCAAAGCGCCTCATGGTTCGCCATAAAAAACTTTCACCTTCTCCATTTCTCGTACTATCTTCTGGCTGTTTTCCTCAGTTAGGGTATGGGTCTTGTTCAACTCATCGCAGAGGTGTCTAGCCTCCTGCTTGGCCTCTAAACAGCCCTCCTGCCATTTCTCCCGGTCTTCTTGGAGATCCTCTATTTGATCTAGCTGGCTACGGTTTTCTTTTTGTAGGGCCTCTATTAAATTTTTAGCTACCTCCAGCCTTTGCTGTAAATCTCTCTGTGTTCCTGCTGGGACTGTGCCGGCCTTAGGAAACTGTGCCCTCCAGGCCTCCAGCTCCACCTGCATCCCCTGCAGTCTTTTTTCCCTATCCTGACTCTTCCTAGCTTCCTGCACCATTACCCGTTCTAATTGCCTAGTTTTCTCTGCCCCCGCTGCCAGGAGGCACCTGATTTCTTTCGCCGTCCCATCCTTTTTACCCGGCGATAGCTGGCGCTCTAAGGTGGCTGATATAGCCTTGGCTTCTTCCTTCTGGGCCTCTGCAAATTCCAGCTCTCGCTCTAGTCGGGCCACCTTCTCTTCTAACTCTCCCCTTGCCACCCTGCAAGGTTTTCTGGTCCTCGGCCTTCCATCATCCCTTCCTGGGTCATGGCTACTCTAACCTTATCTCTTTGGTCCCAGGCTTCAGTCTTGCTAAGGACCCTGAGCAATGGGTGTCCTTATTTCAGACCACCACCTACCTGTGGTACAAAAATTCTACCGACGTCCGTTTTACTGTTCTCACCCTGGATTCGCTTCCCTATTCCAGGGACACGGGTTCTATCCCCGTGCACGGCCGCCTTCCCGGCCAATGCACCACTTTGTCACGGGGCGGGGCGCAGGGATGGCCGTGATCCCCCTGGCGCCCCTACCATGCCAAGTCTGGGCCCTAAACGCACCCTCTGTCTCGCCTGCCACGTCTTTGATCTTACAAGTATCAGTGGGAGGCTGCCTTCCGACCCCCTTGTGCACGGTGCTATCTTTGTACTGGCCCCTGTTCACCAGTGAGTGATATGGTGCACCCCAGCTTTATGGGCCACGCGTGCCTCCTGCCTCCCCTTTAGCACGCCCCAAGCCTTGCAGTTGTCCCAGACGTTCTTATGTCAGTGTGGTGGCCCCCTCCCGGGCCCTTCAATACACGCACCCCCTCTGGGCTGTCCCGCGCACCCTGCCCTCTCCAGGCTCTGTCCTGCGCACCCTTTCTTGGTACTTCTGCTCGTGTAATCACCCTCTTCAGGCTCTGAACCGCGCTCCCTGCCCTCCTCGGGCCTCTACTGGCATGCTCGCCCTACTCTGGGCTCTTACACCAGCCCTCACCCCTTTATGGGGCTTCCTCCTAGGCTCGCCCCATCTCGGGCTTCCTAAGGGACTTTCCCCCTTCGGGCTTATGCCTCGTGCTCTTCCTGCTTTCGCCCCGCTAAGCCTTGCTCGCGCCCCCGCGCTTCTCGCCCTCTCTGGGGCCTGTCCCAATACGCGCTTCTCGCCCTCTCTGGGGCTCAGGTGGCCCATAGCCATGCCTGGCCCCCTGACCCTTCTCAGGGTCCTACGCCTGAGTGGGCAAAATACCACCCTCATGGGCTGGGGTCTTAACCCCCACACACCGCACCTGACTGGTGCTCTCCCACCGCGCCAGCTGTGGCACCAATCACTGTGCCCTCGCTGGCACCGCTTGCTGTGCCTCTACTGGGCACTAGGAACCCCCCCCCAAGCTACTGGGGAGCTCCCATGAGGCCTCCTCACACCCCTACAGCCTCACCCGGTCCTCCAGTGTAGCATCAAACCCAACAATAAACATAAAGCCCTGAGCCCACTGGCTGCAACACAAAACCAGCCTACCAGCTATAACACAGAATCTAGGCCCACCTGGCTCTCCTGTAAAGTCTCTCAATCAGGGTTCTCTCTCCCCCTGCCATATTGCAGCCCTTTGAGTGGTCAGGCTGCTCTACTAGGCTCAACTCAGCAGCAAAGCTCTTATTCCTCAGGCTACTAGATGGTAACTGCCAGCTAGGCTTCGGCCTGGCTGTTTATATAGGCCAGGCCCTGCCCCTGGCGGTCAACTGACCCAATCAGCTGCCATGGCAACTCTCACCTGCTGCTCCAGTGATTGGCAGCTCGGCCCCTATTACTAATGCCAGTAGCAGCTACCTATTCAGTATTTGGCTTCTCTCAGGGAATGTCAATTAAGGCATATCACTGTGTTTTATTTGGATGCCCGACCAGGGGTAACTGAAGTGAGATTACCAAATACATTGCACATGGACCAGTGAACAAGCAAAACATAGTAAGAACTGTTCACCATTATAGCTCAGGTAGATTTGAGCCAGCAACTTGTGTCACTCTCCTGGTCTCATTAGAAATGCCCTCAACCAGAAGCATACCGTTGAACTGAACAGCACATTAAAAGATTTGTTGGCTCAAGTGGTACTTACCAGCAGCAGATTAGGGAAGTTTTATTTTACTGATATTTTTAGATTTATTTTTAAGAAGCTAACCTTTTTTTGGCTTGTTGCACCCAGCACAGTGGTTTGATGATACTACCATCTGTAACACTAACTCCTTGTTAGCACTGAACTGGCATAGAGATTCCTACACAATCCTTCACTTCACATGCTGTTCAAGGACATGTGGCTGAAAGAAATGATGTGCCTGAAATGTACCAGTTAGGGTGTCCCTAAACTGTGTCAATCTGTATTTGCAGTTTTGATCTCTAGTACACAGTGGCTCTCGATAGAATGGCTTTAAAAATGACCTATGCTCCATATCACCTCAGCTTGTTAATCAGCATAGGTGCTCTTGAAACAGTAGAGACCTAACTGATAAAAAGGGCTTCAATAAGGAAAGTACAATTCTCCATCTCTATGTGTCTTCATTCAAAATGGCATGCCTTTCTGGAAGATGTATTTTAGTCAGACACAAGCTATTGAGACCAGTGCAAAGGTAACTGCATGAATTTCTCTTTTACATCTTATACAGGAGGTCAGCCTACTTAATGGACCCTTCTGCCCTTAAAATCTACGAACCTATGACTGACCTTATGATACAGTGCATCTAGCAGCCCACAAGGTTTTCATTTGCTGCCCCAGGCTCCCACCTAGATGCTGCTCTCCCTATCACTCTGGCTGAAGCAGCAGCCAGGATCTCCAGGCTCCCCTCTCTCCTGCAGCTACCACTTATTGCCTCTACCCCAAGTGGTAACATGGGGCATGATGAGGCAGCTTGCATGCTGGTGAAGCCTGTGCTGCAGACCTGAGAGCAGTCCAGGCACCTGCATGTGCAATGCAGCAGGGGTAGGGGACCACATGTGCAGAGTAACTCATGCGCCATGCATTCTCTGCTGGTGCAAACCCACAGGGGTAGTGGTCCCCAGCCATTTAAGATTTCAACAGGACTGGCATAGTGTTTTATGGTATCCTGCTGAAGAAACAGCCTACTGTACTGAAGACAAATTGATAACAAGCATTCTCCTTCCAGCTTTGCTACTAAATTTCTTTGAGGCTTTAGACAAGTCTCTCTGCTTCTCTATGCCTCAATTTCCTAGTGAGAGGCTTTGTGGGAACTATTTGTTGTTCATAAACCACTATGAGTTATGATGATGATGCGGTCATTTTATCATATAGACAAACACTGTTAAGTGCTCTGTTAATATAACTCCATTGCAGGCAGTGAAGCGACAGCACCCAAGAATGGCAAAATTAAAATTTGGTTTCAATGGGGCCAGGATTTCACCCAGGCATTACAATACATGGTTTTTCACAAAAGTGTTGAGATGACGTGTCAGAAGTAAAAATAAAAGTGAAAGATCTGTCTGACTGACATAACTCTACAGTGGAACTATAGGAGACTAACAAGGAACAAAACTTTGCACTTATTCATGAAGAACTACACCCACCCTTACCCCATGGAGAAATTACCAGCTATGGATATCAAGCAACTGAAAGATATTAAGCAGGCAATACAAAAAAAATATTTTCATGAAGGTGGTTTTCTGCCTTTAGTATTAAGCCATGCTTTAAGGCATGCTTTTATGCTTCTTGTATTACTTTGAGACCAAGCAAAATGACAAGATATCAGCACTAGTAAATGACCTAATTCACGTGGTCTTGTTCTTTTATTACTCCTTTAAAAAAGGGGTTTTGGTTGCAGCCCTGTTGGTCTAAGGACATAGGCAGGCAGTTCCTTGGGTAAATGTGATCTCTTTTATTAGATCAACTGAGTAGCTGGGAAAAAAAACGATTTTGCAAGTTTTCGGGCACAAGCACCTGTATTAAAAGCCATCTTATTAAAAGCACATTGTATTTTGTTTCGTTTTAACCAGGCAGCTTCATCTCCGCTGAGCTCCCAGGTTTGGGCCCAACATTTCTGAACGTGCAGATGACATGCCCAGCCTGCTGCACGTAACCACATCTGCTTTCTGTTCAGCCACAGCAACCGCACAGTGCCGTGGCCTGGGGAGCCAAAGGACCAGATGCAATGAATGAAGATGCTCCCTTCTCAAGTGTGGGCATTGAGTCTGAGGTGAGGGGACCAGCCGCCTTGCGTGTGGTGGTGTAGGATGGCTGGCTTCATGGATCTAAAACCCAACTAGGAGCCTGGTAGCACATGGGTCCAGCGGGTCTTGGGGAGCTGCTGATTCAGTAAAAGCAGGACTCAAGTCAGGATCTGGCAGTGCTGCCAGCAGAGATGATGATCCCTCTTGCTAATGCTCTGGTAGTGCAAAAAGACCCGACCCACACCCACAGCTTCTGGTAGAAAGCTACTCAGTTCAAGCCCCGCTTGACAGCGGTGCCCGCGGGCCCCGTGGGCAATGCAAACGGCATCGGTTAGCTCAGCCCGCCAGGGCCCGACTGCCCTTTACCCTACTTGGCAGGCGTCTCGTCCCCGGCCGCACCGCCCCTCGCCGCCTGCTCGCAAGCCCCAGCGGCGGCAGACGCGGGGCCCGGCGCGAGCACGGGGGGAGGCCGGGCCCGGCAGGTGAGCGAGGGCCCCACGGGGAGTCTTTGGGTTTGCCGTCTCCCTGCGCGAAGGGACCGCAGGCGGGCGGGCGGGACGGAAGCGAGTGTGGGCCGTGGGGGGGCAGGGTCTCCCTCCCGGGCTGCCAGGCCCCGCGCAGGGAGGATTGAGCCCGGGTGCTGGAGGGGGGCACCCCGGAGGATCCTTGTCTGTGGCCCCCTAAAAGCAAGTCAGAGCCATATTCAGTGGAGCCCCAAATGCAGCCACTTGGGGGGGTGGCCGGGAGAGGCGGTCACCCCAATACCCAGGACATGCATGCCCAGCCAGGGTTGCCAACTCCATTTGAATCTATTCCGGGCTGTTTCAGCACATGCCGTAATGACAAGAATGACTGCACTGAGTAGACTTTAGGTCAGGAAGGCAAATGCACATTACTGTTATGTTTTAAAAAATCCACTGGACTACTGTATACATTGGATTTACCATTTAATATTTATTTTCATGAATGTCCCGTCATTGATCTCCCTGGTGACTCTCAGCAGCCTTCTGGAGATTTAAATCTAATTCCTGGAAACTCCAGGGCAATCCTGGAGGGTTGGCAACCCTATGCCAAGCCATATTCAGCACAGCCCCAAATGCAGCCACTTGGGGGATGGCAGGCAGGGGGCAGAGGGTGGGGGGATGCCAAGGGGCACAAGGGCCCCCGCTAGCCCTGTGCCAAGGCTGTAATCTCCAGTGAGATTTTTGTGCAAACATCTCCCTCTTGCAACATCAGAGCGTTAAATCCCAAGCAAGCTCCAAATATCTGCACTCTGGTGAGCCTGAAACAGGGCTCCTCTGCCTCTTCCATCTGAAAATACTACCATTAGCTTTCCTTTGGTTTTTTACTATGCCAAAATAGAGCAATTCCTCTGCAACAATGAACTCAGAAAGACTTCAGGTGGCCAGTGGCTCCGACACTATGGATTCCAATTTGAAATGTCAGAGTTTGAATCAGGTGTTGGTATTTGCACCCCTAACAGTGCTCATATTGTGCAGCACCCTGAAAAGGATCTCATGGCACTCCAGAGGAGCACCGTGCTCTGGCTAAGAATCATTGGCCTAGATCAGTGATTTTCAGCCAGGGTACTGGGTACCCTCCAGTGCTGGCAGATCCTTTGAAGGGTGCTACAAGGTGTGATGAGATAACCAGCTAAGTCGATGAGACCAGGCCCTGCCTGAATGATTCCCCCACCCAGCCCCTCTGCAAAGAAGTAAGCAGTATGATATATAAATTAGATTTTGAAACTGGGTACCACTCAATTCACATAAATCATAGACAGGTACCCTGAATCCAATAAAAGGTTCCTGGAGTCCAAAAGGTTGAGAACCACTGGCCTAGATGTTCCAGTCTCTCACCTTTACACCATCCTTCCAGACTGGTACCTTATTAAAGAAGGGTCAATATTACATAAGAATTTTAGAGATCAATTTTTGTGAGTGGAACTGCTTTCATTCAAAAGAGGTTGCTTAAGCTCAAACTTTCCAGACTGACCCTGGGGAAAAGTACAGTTTTCACATTCTTAGGAACACAGACTTTTCTGTACTACATCAAATTAGCATCTTATTTAATCTGATAGCCTGTCTGGCAGTGACAAATGTCTGATGCTTCAAAGAAGATGGAGAGAAGAATACACAATGCATCTGGGCTATTGTACACTGCTGTATGCAGGGGAAACTTTTCCTTCCTGCTCTCAGCAGCAATCATTTTAGGCTGTGAAGCGTGAAATTCAATTAACCTATTTTAATATGTGTTACTAAAGAATATTATTAGTCATAAAATCAAAACCAGCCAGCTCTTTAAAAAAAAATAAAAAGAAGTTCAAACACTTTCAGTAATTCAGTCCCTGACCTTTTGTGGGAGGGATTTCCATAATAAATAAGCAAAGGTTTCTTGAGCTGATGTTTGTGCTTTTTCTACATATACCAATCATAAGTTGGCTGTTGGTCCCTTTGGTCCCAAAATAATTTTATGGAGAGGTGCAGTATGAAATACTGTAACTGTGTTATCTTGCCAAGTATCACTTTGTGAAGCTGGTGTCCTGACACAATTTGTTACTAATACAAAAGAAGCATTCACAGCATGTTTCTATATCATTTCATATTTTTTAAACACTCCCATCCTAAAATGGCATCCTAATAATGGATATGAGGGTATGGACACAGGAGCCCTTTCAAAAGGGGATCATTTCAGAAGGGCAACAGCTGGTACATCATAATTGTTATGTATCAATAAGCTGAGAACAATTCGAATGTAACTCCAACTTTAACCCTGCATGAAAGAGCATTAAAGTTGGAGTGGGTTCACTGTATTTGAATTATTGTTAGCTCATTCACACATAACAAGTGGAGCATACAAGGTGCTGCTCTTCTGAAGCCCTTCTGAAAAGGCTCCAAGCCCTCCTGGGTCCTCTCACCTTCAGAAAGGTTTTGCCAGTGATGGCCAACCTTTTTAGGCAGGCACACAACAAGTTAAACCCCACTCCACCACCTTCCCAAGTGCCATTTCACAGAGGTGTGCTAGCCAGGTTAATTTTTCCCAGCCCTGCAACCCCGCAAGGATGCAAAGTCCTGAATTCAGCAGTGGCTGCAGCATCACGGAAGGATTCACCTGGATCAGTGACACCTGACATTTCACCTCAGCAGCATCCTGTCTCTGTTCCCCTCCACATAGCCAGAGGCTTGAGCCCCCTGTCCTCCATTCCAGCACCCCTTCTTGCTGAGGCTGTTTATAGACATGACATTTTTCTAGGTTTAATCTGGAGTACAGCCATCACTATATACCTGTGGACTTCTGTAGTCTGAATTAAAATTGGCTCTGGTCCGAATTAACTAATCTGCATTGAATGAGGATTAAAATTATTTCATGCTAGTGCAGTCTGAATTAGGCCATTTAAACTGTATTAATTATCATGTATGGCTTTTAGGAAAAACATTCCTTAGGAACTCAGATACGCATTTTTTAGGAATGCAGGTAAGCATTGCAAATATCAGTCCCCTCCAAGGACACTCAGTTGGGTTTTTGCAACAGGAAAGAGGCTATCAGGCACACAGTAACACCTTTATAAGGACAAATGTGCCAACACCTCATAGTGACTAAGTATCAGCATCCTGACTAAGCTGCCAGCCCTGGCTAAGCACACTGCTGACCTGTGAAGAAAGGGACAAACCCCTTTGATCATCTATTAACCCTTAATTTCAATTGAAATTTGATTCAAACTGTGTGATGTGAATCTGTTTAAAAAACAGTGAGCACAAGTGCCTGGGGCTCTCATGCCACTCACAGCACCTGCTTGTGGCACACATACCACAAGTTGGCCATCCCTGGTCTGTGCACTTAGGAGGCCTCCTTTTCCTCAGTTAATAGTGTATTTTTAATTCTAGACATTTTTCATTATATAATTTTTCAGAGATGTGTAAATTGTCCAGCATGAAGTTTTACTTCCAGGTTTAAAATTAAATATATAAATCAACAAAGGTAACTGCTCCTATCTTGTTTACTGTGTTAATTATATTGATTCAAAATGATCTATCGAGTTAGATTATGACAAAATCCAAATACTTAAATGACATTTGATCCTGTAGAGAGCACTTCTCCCAATAGTCTTGCCTGTGTATATGCAGAAACAAAATAATAAACATTACTGATGTTAACAAAGTGAAAAACAGTCAACAGCAGAGATAATTTCCATGTTTTAACTGTATGTAACTTGTCTCTGCATTTCATCATAGCTTCATTTCTCTGAATGGATTACCAGGCTCAGTGTGTTTAACATGATTGCCACATACTGGGTGTATGTACATGAAACGTTTTACTGCGCATTAGACTAATCTAACCTAACGCTATAGTGTGCATTAGACTAAAGTCATCATCTACATGTGTCCAGCAATTACTGCACAGTAGATATGTAGGTAGATACAGGTACTAGAAATTGGTGCATTAAACTAATGCACCAAAGACCACACGTAAATGGTGACCAGATAGCCTAGGCAGCAGGGGGCCACAAGGGGTGGGTAGAGTTGTCTTGGCTTGGTGGGCTGTTACCTGCCAGCCCCATGGAGACCCCTCCCAATCTGCGCAGGGTGGGGATATCTGTCCTGGCTTCTGGAAGCTCCTCATTGCTGCTGCAGGGACGCAGAGTAGGGCAAGAGCAGCCCTGAACTGAACTGCTCCCGTCTAAAGCAAATTTACTCCTGATGGGCACACATCCAGATGTGTGCAGGGGGCACAATTTAATGCATCTGAATTTTTTGTGCAGAAAATTTAGATGCATTAATTGCACATGTAGATGTGCCCACTGTGTTTTCCTATAAGGCATACATGGTTTGTATATAGTTCATGCAGGTTTTCTTCTGTCCCAGATCCCAGTTGCCAATACAATCCAAAAGTGGCACCAGGTTCTTTTGTATTTGACTTGGTTCTAGTTGAATTGACCACTAATATGACTCAGATTTCATTGCACTGCAGGCATGGCTGAATCTTTATATAAGAGCCATCACTCAAGAATGGAGTTCTGCATCTTCCTATAGGGTCCTGAACCATTTTTAATATAGTTCATAGCATCAGTAGAGAATTCACATTATCTTAGCTATACTATTTTAAAATATTTATGCTGACTGTTCTTACACCTAATTTACTTTTTGCCTTACTGTTTGTTTACATAAAACTAACAATAACAAATATTGTTAACAGCTACTGATAACAGCAGATAACAGCCACACAAATGCCAGGCAACAATTATATGAACTTATGATATCCACTGATGTTGTTGGGGCTGAATGAAAGATGAAAGCCAGGGAGGGTAAAAATGTTGTCTTCCCTCTAAAGAGAAGATTTAAAAAAAGGTTAAGGATATAAATCTGAGAAATAGATCTCATCAGATATTACCTACAATCATAATTCTGTGCCCATGACCACATTCCCATGGCAGCTGTTTTCATCTCATATAGAATTAGGTCTTTGAGAAAGGAATGCACAACAG